AGGTTCTTCAATGTAGTTCTTCGTTGTGTCAGGTGAATCAACTTCTTGAGCTAAGATGAAATTCACTACTTCCTTGGTCATTGTGTAGCTTTTAGTAGCAGCTGTAACGATCTTTGAGTAACTGGTTGCCATGTATTGCTCTAGAGGGTCACGGATTCATTTCGTCAATTGATTGGACCGTATGACATGTGTTAATTTTTTCTAAGGATTTTTCCGTTGGATATATGTTGAACACGACCTGCTCTTCATTAACCTGCATTGTCAATTTTCCTCCTTGGACATCAATAAAAGCTCTTCCAGTAGCTAGGAAGGGTCGATCAAGAATCAATGGTATCTTTTCTTCCTCTTCCATGTCTAACACCATAAAGTCCACCGGAAAGATGAACTTATCAACATTCACCAATATGTCTTTGATAATTCCCCATGGGTAGTTGATGGATCTATCTGCCAGTTGCAATGAGATGATAGTCGGTTTCACCTCTCTAAGACCCAGCTTCTTAAACACTTATAGGGGCATCAAGTTGATGCTAGCTCCAAAGTCACACGGTACTTTATCAAACACAATACCACCAATAATGCAAGGAATGGTAAAGCTACCCGAATCTTTCAAATTCAAAGGAAGCTTCTTCTGGAGAATGACACTACACTCTTCTGTCAACTTAATTGTCTCAAACTCCTCCAGTATCTTCTTCTTTGAAATCACTTCCTTTTAAGAATTTGGTATAATTAGGCATTTGGACTACAAAAGGAATGTTGATGTGTTTTTTCTTGAAAACCTCCAGGAATTTCGCAAACTACTCATCAATTTTCTTCTTCATGGATCTATGTGGGAATGGTAGTTGCGTCTTTAAGATTGGTGGATTGTCTGGGAATGAGATTCAGTAAGGCTTATGAGTCTCTTTTGTTGCCTCGCTACAGTCTTCTACTCTTTAACCTGCGTATCCCTTATGGGAATGGGATCTGATGTAAGCACCAAAGCTTCTTTGGCTTGCTTTCTTCAACTACACTTCAATTCCTCAATATGATGGCATTGCAGTGCTCCCTTGGGTTAATCTCAGTGTCACTGGAGAATGTTCATTTCTGTTGGGACTGTAATGCAGTTGCTATCTGACCAATTTGCAACTCCAAATTCTTCACTGTGGCCCCCATGTTGGTAATATGAGTTTCGATGTTGTCAAGTTTTGCCTCGTCCTTGTTGAACCTCGATCTAGTCTCTAAGATGAAAGTTCCCAAAATATCCTCCAGTGATGGCTTTCGTTCAGACGCTTGATTATTGAACCACTGATAGTAGTTGTTTCCATAGTAGTTCCCCCTGTGGTTGAAGTTCTCATCGTTAACATAATGAACTTGTTCATTCTCCCTTTCTGTCTCCCGGTACTCAGTGGATGCAGCCATAATAGATTCTGATTTTTTCTGAGTCCCCTGTGATGTCAATGCCGCTAATAGAGATGTGAGAGACGATATTTGGGCTGTAGGGACTATAATAGGATCCACTTCATGACAACCAGCTACTTTCCTTACATTTGAACGTTCACTTGGCCATTAATAGCTATTAGTAGCTATCTGATCCAGCAATGAATAAGCCACATCCAGATTCTTGGACATCAGAGTTTCTCCGCTGTAGAATCCACTATTGTCCTTGTCTGATCATTCAGTCCATTGTAGAAGAGTTCGATTT